ATGCCATTTTATCTAATGACGTACAACTATATGCCTTCCCCCACACTGTCCCACTCAAAACCCATGTGTTCTCTCTTCATTATCTCTCATTAAATGAGCTTGACTTCATTAGAAAGACCAACAAAAAGGCTTTGACCATGGCAAATGCTTATTCTGGACTTCATTTCTGAATTTTGGATTTGGCTATATTTAGCAAAGCTATAATCGTCATCATACCCGAAGCCAGGAAGAAGACACCATTCTCAAACCACCCCCTGAAAATCTGCAGTTGCCTCTAAAAAACCAGACTTCCCAGCAGGCAAAGACATCTGAAGTGGGAGGGATCAAACTGATACTTGCGTCAAGAGAAGGCCTCAGGTGCTTATAACTAATCTCTGCCTGGCTCTCAAGGTTCTCCACAAACTAATTTCTTTCTTGTCTCGCCAACAGACCTTCTGTCTAGTCAAACATCCTCAGTCACCCTGCTCAGTCCTTTCCGTAACAGTGGTCATTTTATCACTCCCTACCTACACCATCTCCCCACACCTGCCTGCTTCTGCTTCAAGCTTCTTGCCTCTTAGGACACTTCTAGAACACCTCTTCCCCAGACATTAGCTGTTCCCTTTCCCCACAATTAGCACAGGACTGAGGCACAGTAGAGGAACAGCACATATTTATAGAGATTTGATAGTTCTTCAAAAGGCCCAGGGCCACTGAAGAAAGTAAGCWGCAAACACATTCAAATGTACCTTCGAGAGCAAATGTAAAGGAATTTCATTCTACCACTTTATGTCCTTTCCTTGATTATGGAGGGAAACTTACACCAAATGTTAACATTAAACTAAGTCAGTATTCCCAAAGCTGATTTTGTTTCACCACTCTACACCTCTGCATATGCACTGCCTCTGGCTAGAAGTCCTTGGGTAACCCYGAGCTGGAACATCTACTGGGTAATTTCCATTCTTGTTCAAAACTTCCATCATCTAGGGGCCCTCATCCCCAGACCCCTTCTCTTTATCATCTTAACATCTCTTAATATCTACCACATGCCAAGGCCCATGCTAAGTATAGGATGCTTATCTCAGGGTTATTTGCTACTTATTGGTCTACTCGTCCATGCCCCATCCAACCTATTTATTGTCTCTGAAATCTAACACAGTGCCTGCCACAAAGAAGCACAAATAAATGTTTACAAGATGTGTACATACACGCCTCATATCAATACTACCAATGTGTTTGAATTATATACCATATGTGAATTTTTTTTTCTTGGTGGTTCACACATTTTTAAGCCCCACTACATTATTCTATAGATAGGAGAAATTACTAGTTCTCTGATAGGGCTTCTTAGTTATCATTAGCACTGGACCTAGTTTCTTTTGGTCTAGGCGAAAAAACCCTTCTAAGAAGCCAGCTGTCCACCTTATTCAGAACTGATACAGCTCAGGGATGTTGTATCAGACACAGCAGGCTCAACACTTCCTTGTTGTTAAAGCTTAGAAATAAGGACTCATACAGCTAAGGAAATAGACAAAAGCACCGATTCTCAGTCCTTCTTTAAGCACTGCTCTAATTCTCCCATTGAGCTCATTCTGGAAGCTTAAATCAAACCTTCCCTTGATATCACATGCCCATTAACTCAGACATGACTTAGCATCTCATAATAGYATCCTCACTAAGAAAGTTAGAAAGTATCCACCCCAGAACCCTGCCTGGAGATACCCATAGCTAACTCAAGACTTAAAGCCTTCACTTCCCCCTACCCACAGCCGTGTCCCCTCTGGAATACTTAGTGAATCAGAAGAGCAAGGTTAATGCAACTGACAGAGAGACAGCAACCCTAGCAACCCAGAATTCTCCTGTCTTACCTAGCATCTGTTTCTTAGGGTTCTTTCAATTCCTCATCAGACCAATACCCACATTAGGGAAAAAGAAATACTCAATGGGATGTGGTGGTAATCAAATCTCTTTGAAGCCTTCCCCACACCAAACTCCCTAAACTGCCTGATCACTGCCCTGGGCATATAGTATATAACTCTCATTGTCCTTAAATAACTCTGGCTGGGACTGGTAAATAGGTGAGCACCTACAGACTCAGAGAAGAGGGACCAAGGAAGGACTGTGACTACCCAACATTTATCTGTTGATCCTTTAATGAGCTAATGAGACCTCTGCAAAGAACATCTTGATCAGCCCACCCACAATGGGGAAAAAGCTTTGGATTGCAACAGCCAAAAGAGCCCTCACACTGACATACATTCCCTTTAACTAAATATATATATTGATGGGAAACAGTGGCTATCATTTATTGACCACCTGAAAAATGTTAAATACTCTATGTATATATACATACATCCTTATTTAATCCTCAAGACCATTCACACAGCAGTGGTTCCCAAAAATCTTCCTAGGAACTTGTTAAAGCCCCACACCCACAGTCTCTGGAGTGAGGCCTACAAATCTGTAATTCTAACAAGCTCCCAGGTGATGACACTATTCCTGATAAGGGCTCCAAGCTTTAAGAACACTGCCATAGGGAAACAGATTCAAGACAGGTTTAGAATGTTTTGTCCAAGTTCCACAGCTGGTAAAGAACTGATCCAGAACTTGAACCTAGACCTGTCCGACTCTACAGACAGTGCTAAAAACCATACTACTTACAGATGAGTGTATATCTTATCTTCCCAAATTCACTGGCAGCTCCATAAAGGCAGATTTCACATGTTAGACATCTCTCATCCCATTCAGAACTCAGAAGTGCCTTTGGTCTTGGTAGGCACTACATAAACACTTTGTATACTAACTCCCACATATCTACATATTTCTAAAGCCACAAATTCAAACTCAATTACAGTCAAAGAACACTAAGAACAACACTGCCAGACCCAATTTTACATGACACTCTCTGCTACTGAGTCTTTGCCCATACTGCCACCACATTGGTTAATGCCTACTCATTCTTTGGTCACTTTCTCCAGGCAACAGTTCTTGGTTCCCTAAAAATTGGGTTCCCCCAAAAAACAAATTGGCAGCCAYTGCACCCTAAGCATACCTCCATGATAGCACTAATCACTCTATTATATCTGGCTATTTTCCATCTCTTACAGCAGTTTGTAAACTCTTATATCTGGTTTAATATCATGTCTCCAGAGCCTAGCATGATGCCAGGCACATTACGGGCATTCTATAATTGTTTGTTGAATGAATAAACAAACAAATGAATGCAGAGCTGCAAGCCTTAAGTTCTGCTTAAAAACATCATAAGGTATGATGCACCATTCTCAGGGATGAATTCCAGGGCAGAGGACGGCAGCCTAGATAACGAAGACCAATTCTGCCTTTTTTTTCTTCCACATCTCTCTTCTCAGACTTGGAGAATGGGCATCACTTAGGGCAACACCATCCATGAGACAACATCTAAGCTAAACAATATGTTCCTGGGCTATAAGGTTAGCAGGGAGGAAAGAACTCTCTCATTCCTCCTGATCACTCCCTCACACACACTTCTCTATTTCTTCACCCCTCTGCAGTCAAGGGCTTTGGCACAGGGATGAAATAGACATATCAGACTCAAGGGTACAGATCTGGAGGCGGGCACAGAAGCATCTCCCATCCTGCACCAAAGCCCACAAGGAAGGATCCAGAGGGACAGTGACTCAGGCCCCAAATTAAGTCCAGCTAAAGCAATACTGAGAATAAAAAAGAGCAATAATTTCACAAGGACATTAGGTGTCAGTATCTTTTTTTTTTAAATAGTGTTTTTCAAGTGCTGGTTTCAAACCTATCCCCAGAAACTGGGCCCTGTTGAATCCAGTGGTTATACAATCCGCAAAACAAACACAGATTCTCCCTCTTCCCAACCTACCCACCAGCCAATATGATATCATGACAGGCATTTCCTAGGTCCAGGTCCTGTTTTACCCTTAGCCTGTAAAAGGCTCCTTTTTAAAGAGACCTCTTAGCTTTCTCTCTTCCCTAGCTAATAAGCTGTTCCCTACCACCATGTTGCAGTAATAGAGACCTCCCCCTTCCCCAACACCTCACAGTCTATAACATAACCTACAGCAGGTTGGTCCCATCCAATTAGTTTGAATTGCTTCATGCCAAGGGAAATTGCTGCTTTTATTAAAAATAAAAGCACACTAAGCAGGCAATGAGCTGTGAAAACTATGAGTCTGGCATAATTATGAAGGTCGAGGTTAAGGTTATCAAAAGAGACAGGCAAAGATTTCCCGAAAGCCTGGGAGATAAAGATATATATCCACACATATACATAGATATAGATATACAAACGAACACACACACAAGGCATTTCCACAGATCCAAAAAAACATCCTGGTCAATAGAGGGAAAACAAAATCAGGGCCACTCACAAGTTTTTCTTAATAAAAACAGGAGGAACAGGGGCCTCCAAGTCTGAATTCAAAATAGTCACATTCATTTCACATAATTTGTTACCTTAGCTATATCTTAGGGATCTGTTTGGGTCAGGAAACAAACCTAGTAAAATTCACTAAGAGCCTTGGCCCTTGGAAAAATACATTTCTATTCCCCCAAAGTACTGTCTTCCTTTCAAATGTCTGCTTAAGGAAGTGGGAAAGTTGGGTTGAAGAAACCCCTCTCTCTTCTTATAGATTCCCTCCACCTCCACCCTTCAGCATTGACATTTCAAGTTTCAGAAGATCACAAGCCCACCACCCCACATTAAATATGAAGCTTTACACTTTTGCACATATGATCTGCATAATTTGGTAAGGGAACCATGGTGGTTTTTCAACGCTTTTTTTCTTAAATAAAAAGCCAGTGAGGTAAACAATTTCGGCAACCCCTACCCCTTTAAGCTCTGTCACTTTCCAATCTCAGTTTTAAATCTCTCAAGGACAATGACTCACAGGGAAAGTGAAGGGGGAAGGGGAGGGTCAACTGGTCAAAACCCATTCATACATTCAACAACTAGAAACCAGAGTCTTGCCACATCAGCACAAGATTTTTAATTTACGGAGYACTGAGTTCCACCTTACCTTCGGCCAACACCTCGTCCACTGTGACCTGCTGTCGACCGATGCCAAAGACCCTCCCGATGTAGCCACTGCCCAGGCCCGAGGTGCTGCCCCCTCCTCCACTGGAGCCAGAGCCCAGGCCAGAGCCGCCCTGCTCTCGCCGGGAGTCGAAAAACTTCTTCATCTTGCAAATAGGAAGCAGGAAAGCAAAATACCGATGGTTTCTAGATTTTTTTTTTTTTTTAAAGAGATCTAAGGATTTCTTCTCTGATTTCAGCTCCGAGAGGAGCCACCCGAATCCGGCCGTGGGGGTGGGGGCTGAAGGAGGATGCCTATAGGAATATGCGTGTCAATCGCGCGGCGGGTCTCCTCCTCCTCCTCCAGAGAGCGATTCGCGTAAGTTTAAACCTGTGATGACAGAGGAAGAGAGAGAAAAGRTGAATCAGTAACACACTTAAAAATTCAACTGCTGAGTCCTAGGGGTAGCAAAAGCCATCATCTAGGCTTCATGCATTTTCCTAGCGAGAAAAACCCTAGAGCTGAAAACGCATCCCCAGTCCCAGAACCTCAGATCCCTGTGGCCCGGGGCTCCGAGAAAGAAGGGATTTCKGGCCGCCCTGGGCAGCGCCGACCCTGCCCGGCACTGCCTCCCCCTCCTCCCCGAACCCCCCGCCGCCCTGAGAGGCAGCCGCCCCGAGAGGCAGCATCCCCGCGGCACCCACTTGAGATGGCTCGGCGGCCGGCGCCCAGCTACCAGCCCCGCAACATTGTCACGGCCGCCGTGCCGGCCTGCGACGCTGAGAGGAGGCGGCGCTGCAGCCAGAGCCCCGGCCGCGTCCGGCGCCTGCCCGCCCGCCAGCTGATTCCCGGAGCGCTCGGCTGAGACTGACCCGCCGCCCCTCCCCCGCGCGCGCTCCCGCCCGGCTCCATCCACCCAACCAGGAAGTGAACCGCCGCCGGAAGTGCCTCTCGTGGCGGCGCGGCCCGGCCGGCCCGCGTCTACGGCCGCTCCTCGGTCGCGACAGACAAGAAGGAGTCGATGACGAGAAGAGAACCAGAGAAGAGGGTCTCAGTGCAGAAAGAGTCTTGAAAAAGAACGTTGCTATCGCCCTGCCGCAGGGCACCCTGGGAAAGATAGCTCAGCGTAGCCCGGCAGCTGGACTACAACTCCCAGGATGCGCCTGGGAGGAGCGGGCGTGGCGCAGACCGTGGCCTCCGCGGCCTCGAAGATGGTTAGTGGGGTGGTGCAGAAGTAGGGATTCGGTTATTTAAACACATCCGGTAAAGAAACTGCCAGGGGCTAGGTTTCCCCGCTGCTGCATGTTCCACTCTTCTGGAGCCATCTTACTTGCGGCCTGGCCTCCTGGCACKAGGGACTCTGGGGATTGTGGTTTCCAAACCGATGGAGGCTGACACCTGAAGGACGCGGCTTAACCGCTTAGCCCCAAGCTGGCCCTGCGGGGCTTCCAGACGTCACCTGAGCAAAAGGAGGAGGAGAGAGGGCGATGGGAACATGGTGCTAGCAGTGGGTTCATGCCACATCGGAATTCCAGCCCTAAGAGAAAGCCGGTGCTCGCCCCCCCTCACCCCGCCCCGAGTTCGAAAGGTACTATTGCTCCCAGGTGATAGAGCCGGCTCCGCGGTCAGCTCCGAGGTAGGCGCTGAAAGAACGCCTGCCTGGTCAGCTCCTCCTCCGGAAATCTGCAGGCGAGATTCAAACCGACAGACTGCTCAAGGCTGGGTTCAGGGCACATCCTGGGGAAGAGCGCCCGTTGCTTCGACCTCAAAGTTTTCGGGGCTTATCAGCCCCCAGTGACCCTCAATTCTTCCACCTTTGCTGAGGCTATGGGTTTACCTGATCCTCACTAACCCCATCCCTAGCCAGACCTTCAAAATTCTTCCACTGATGCTTATTTTGCCCTGAAACCGCCWGCTTGCCGAAGGCGGGGGTGGACTGTGTGGTTTGCCTCGGTCGAACGCAGAAGATTTGGAAGGCGCTTGGTGCCCTTCTGTCCCTAGATTTCCTGATGATACCGAATCCCTGCCCTCTCCGCGCCCCCCCCCAAAAAAAAAGCCATAATTTTTCTGATCTGTGAATATAGGTTATTTCTCACCTCCACCTGTTCACTCTAATGCTGCGACAGCCCTCTGGGCTTGTTATTCGTCCCAGAATTTCTTCAGCTGGTATTTGAGGAGAATAGAGAAGGGTGCCCCACAAGGGGGGGAAATGGTTCTTGCTTTCCTTAATCTGAATATTGAGCTGGGCTGGGCTGGGCTAGTGGTGGCGGCCGCCGCTGCTGCTGCGGCTTCTGGTTTCAGGTAGTGCCACTGTAATTAAACTCCCTGAGTAGAGATAACATCTTCTCTTCCGGAGAGTCAGTGTTGCCACCTCAGTTCACAAATTCATGCAGCCACCTCCAGGGTGAAATGCAGCACCTGCTAAAACATTCCCTCAGAGCAAGCCCACGGAGGCATGTTCTCTGCACCTTCCTTAAAAGGCTAAATTTTTGTCAAAGTAAGTTTGGAACAGATCTTAAAATAGATGGGAAAGCTTGTTGACCCCCATCTTTTTTCATCTATTAGTCTTGACTAACTTTTTTTAAAAGAAAATCTGTTAGGTCCTGTTGCTATGTCAATTTTTTTACTTTCCTCAACTTTTCTAGTACCAGACCAAGGTCAGGTTTATATAGATCTCAAATCTCACTTCAGAGCTACAAAAACTTCCAATAGGATTAAGGTAGCTTTGGATGCTTTGATCAGAATCTGAGTGAGGTGGTTTAAAAAAAAAAAAAAAAAAAAAAACACTAGATTCCTTGCCTTTCATTCTCTCCAAGATTCTAGTAACAATTAAAATGACAAATCCACAGATTTCCTTGCTTCATATATATTAGGTTATTTAATCCTCACAACAAACCTATGAAAGAGGGTATTATTTTCAAACTCATTTTAGAGACAGGGAAATAAAGCACAGAGATATGAACTTGCTAACAACTGACAAAGCCAGGATTCAAACCCACATGTTTTGGTTTCATGGGCTCAGCTCTTAACTGTCTACATTGAATTCTCTACCTAGAAAGAGCAAACATAAAAACTGATTAAAAGACATTAATATAGTTAAAAACCTATCTACAAGTAGCATAGAACCAGAAGACAGGAAACCTCTGTCACTCCATATCTGTGATCACTGAGAACTCACCATCTATTTTCTCAGCCTTAAAACTAGAATTCTCTTACAACTCTTGAGTAATTGTCTATTTCCTGAGTATAAACTAATCACACATCAGCCTCCGTAATCTCAAGACTTCTACAATACTTCTTTCTGTATAATTTGTCCAACTCTGCTTTGTATTCTTATTCAACTTTTCATATAATCACCTCAATCAGGTATCTCAAAGTTAGGGAACAGTCTTCTACAGTTATGTCCTTGAACATCTATTATTACAATTGTTTAAATGTGCTCTTACCAATACTGATATAAATAAATTGATTTCAAATTATCTGTGACACAAAAGAGCAATCTCAGGTAGAAAAATTGATTTGAAGGGTTCTACATCAGGTGAGCTYTTGAAATAGGTCTAGGAAATATTGTGGTTAAATTACCAATTAAAGGGAGTAGAAAAGGAAACTGACATTTTCTATGTATCCTCCATACCTCAGTGACTGCTTTTACTAAAGCACTTGACATATTATCTTGTTTAATCCTCATGGCTGCATCCTAGCAAAGTGGGGTACTGTTATCTACCCATAGTAAAGCAGTATTAAAGTACTGTTATACTACTTAAGAATCTACTTTGAGGCTGTGATTGTGGCTCAGTGATAGAGCACTTGCCATGCACATGTGAAACACTGGATTCAATCAGTACCACAAGAAAATTAATAAATAAAATTATATAAAAAATCTACTTTGATACTCTTATACTGTTATCCTCACTTTTGTTTTATTTTTCAATACTAGGGATTGAACCCAGGGGTGCTTACACCACTATGCTACATCCCCAATTGTTTTTATTTGTTTTGAAAAAGGGTCTTKCCAAGTTGCCAAGGCTGGCCTCAAATTTGTGATCCTCCCAAGTAGCTGAGATTATAGGCATGTGCCACCAGACCAGGCCTGTTAGCCCCAATTTTTTTTTTTTTTTTTTRARAGGGGAGAGTTGGTTATTGAAGAGAGTCTCTGTATCACTGAGTCACATCCCAGCCCTTTTTATTTTTTATTTTGAGACAGGGTCTCACTAAGTTGATAAGAGCCTGGCTAAATTGCTGAGGCAAGCCTTGAACTTGTTATCCTCCTACATCAGCCTTCCAAATCACTGGGATTACAGACAGGCACTACGGTGCCCAGCTATCCCCAGTTTGTTTTTTGTTTTGTTTTGGTTTGGTTTTGTCTTTAAAAAAAAAAAAAATGGTAGTTGTAGATGAACAGCATGCTTTTTTTGTTTTGTTTTGTTTTTATATAGTGCTGAAGATCGAACCCAGTGCCTCACACATGCTAGGCAAGCACTCTGCCACTAAGCTGCAGCCCCAGCCCCTATCCCCAGTTTTTATAGATGAACAATGAAGATTTTATTCATAGAAGATGGATGTGTATGTCTTGTTAGGTTTAGAGGAAATGATTTGATCTGTAGCGTGGCTAAACACRTGACCATAAACTCATTTGTGGAAAAGATGTACTACCATCTTTAGAGGACATCAAAGATTTAAGGACCTTAACTGAGTCAGTCACTGTGTTGGATATTTAACCATATCATTTAACTTTAGCAATACACCTATGAGATGTGTGTTACTTTTATTTTATCAATGTGTAAACAGTCTGAGCAAGGTTAAAGTGTGTCAAATTTTGCTCCACACAGCCTTCAAGGGCAGAGCCAGAATCAGAACTAGACTAACCTCAAAACCCACATCATTTTCACTACATCTTGTAGTCATTTTCTGTTGCTATCTTTTAGCCCAGTAACTTGTTAAAGATGCAAATTATTGAACCCAACCAAAACTAAATAAGAGTGAGAATAGAGGCAACAATCTTTTTCCACAAACTATCCAAGTAATTCTAATAGACATTTAAGTTTGAGAACCACTATTTGGCTGAAGGAAACTTGTAACAACCATTTCCATCTTTAAAAACATCATAACTTGGTTTTTGTTTTTATTTTCTGATTAGAAAAGGAATTTTAAATATGTAAAAACAAACCCCACCATTATATAAGGCACCAATAAAACTAACTATAAAATAACTACAAAGCACCAATAAAAAATGTGAGAAAAATTAAAATATAAGCAAAAAAATCATTAAACAAATTTTATCTTCATCAAAAGAATATAAAGGAGAAAATCAGCTGTAATCCACCAGAGACAACTGCAGTTGCAGTTGACATGCTGATCAATTTTCTTTTGGCATTTTTTCATATGTAAAACAATATTAAATTGTGCATTTTGTATATCCTACTATATTTTTCAACTAACTGTTTCCCATATTATTGTATATTCTCTAAAAAACCTTAATGGCTGCTTAGTACTCAGTCCTTAAATGCCCAATATTTTATTTATCCTAAAATTTTCCTGTTTTACATGTGATTAGAATGAATATCCTTTGGTGTGCCTCAGTGATTTTTTTTTTAAATCTATGTTTTTATAAATGAAATAACTAGTTCAAAAGGTACGAATATTTTTATAGCCAGAGGGCCAAAGTACCCTCTAGAAAAGTTATACTGACTTGTTCTCTGCTCACTGATTTAGATAGCAAATATTTATTACACACCTACCATGTATTAGACACTAAGACGCTTATTAAATTAACAAAATAGATAGGTCCTTGTCCTCATAGAGTCTTCCATCTTAAAAGAAGGCATTAAATCCTAAGCATTCCCATACCCTGACCAACACT